AAAAATAACACATTAAGCAGACGTTGCAAAATACATGATAATAAAATTTTCTTATTTTCCAAAGATAAATTAAAATGTACAGCTTGGTATATATAAATTCAACTTTTCTTCTTGGAATGCTCTTTGAATTGCTACTTTTAACTGAGGGCTCTATGTTATCTCAGACTGTGGGTTGAATGAGGGCTATGATTTTTATGTAGAATTGAATCTGTGAGTAGGGGTTCTTTAGATAGTACAGAGGTATTTTGCACTATTCTCATTTCTCTATCACTTAGTATGGTGATTTCAACCTCTTTCTGCATTTTTTTGGAGTTTTTCAACTGCAGATTCAACTCCATTCCTTTGAGCTTTCCAACTGTAAATGCAGCAATTTCCTCAGTTCCATGACTCCCCTCTGTTTCTAAGGGAATGGCAGCCTCTCATTCATCCTGCTGCTGCCATGTCTTTTCCATTTCTCTTTAGTCCTTACATCCCACAGTCTCCTCCTTAATTCAACTTTCTCATCACTCCTCCATTCCTTATACAATGGGGTTGGGAATGTGGTGTTTTTAAAATATAGGATGATTTTTTTTATATGAAATACATTTAATATGAAGGAACTTTCAAGTACTCCAAAGGACTATTTGGTTATAAAGTTGAAATCAGTCATACTTTCAAACACTTTTTACAAACTCTGTGACTACCATTCCCCACCTCCCCACACATTCATTTAAATTGGCAATTCAACTTGGGGATAGGAAATAGAAGTTTCCTTGTGCGTGAGGTTGATTTGCTTATGCACTAGTGGATTACACCACTTTGGCTAAATTGGAAAATAGTTTAATACCCTAAGAGTCCCATAATATTTATATTTCACTCTTTTCTTTTTTTCCCATCTAAGCTGTTATTTTCTAACCACATTCTTGAACAAATTTGCATTGTTTAGCATTTGTTCAATGGCAAAATGAAGGTAGTGTATTGTACTTTGTTCTCTCTCTTCTCATATGGGTGGGGGGCTGGAATTTTCAAAGATGGGAGACTTTTTGGTGCCTGTAGATTGCCACCCAGGTGTGTATGAGGACTGACGATTAAGTTTGTGAATGTGCTACCATGCACTTTTGTTGGCAGCACTATACAAACAATTCAATAAGGTTTCATAACCTTGGTATATCAGTGTTCCACAGCTATGTTTGTGTTGATATGTGGCAGTGTCTTGCTGAGTAGTGTTCATTATTGTTGTTGTGTATTTTTGTGTGCAGTTGTGAGAATGTCGGAGCTTCAATTAGGGCTAAAACAAACAATAAATTTCTTGTTAAATTTAGCAAGAGTGGAAGTGAAATCAGGGATCTATTATTCCAGGTTTATGGGGATAATGACATGAGGAAAACAGCAGTGTACAAATAGGTTGAATGTTTTTCTGAGGGGAGAGAAAGCATCACTGATAAAAAGAGGTCACGAGGGCCGGTAACAAGCAGAACTGACAAAAACATCGCAAACTTTGTCAAATTGTACATCAAAATTATTGACTGACTGTGAGAAGCATAGCAGACCAAATAAACATTGATAGAGAAAGAGAAGAGTCTTAACTGAAAATCTTGGCATGAGAAAGGTGTGTGCAAAAATGGTCCTGAAGAAGCTCTTGCATCATGGCAATGCACCAGTTCACACAGCACTGTCTGTGAGGGAGTTCTTAGTCAGTAAACAAATAACTGTATTGGAACACCCTCCCTACTCACCAGATCTATCCCTAAATGACTTTTTCTATACCCAAAGATAAAGGAAGTATTGAAAGGAAGATATTTTGATGACATTCAGGACACCAAGGGTAATAAGACAACAGCTCTGCTAACCATGTCAGAGAAAGAGTTCCCAAATTGCTTTGATGGGTGGACTAGGGGCACTGGCATCAGTGCATAGCTTCTCAAGGGGAGTTCTTTGAAGGTGACCATAGTGATATTCAGCAATGAGGTATGTAGCACTTTTTCTAGGATGAGTTCATCAACTTAATCGTCAAATTGTCGGGGTTTTTATGCTTCTGACTGCTGTTCCTCTTTACCCCTTAGCATTTAAAAGTGAATGGAACTTTCTTTCCTTTGATTTCTCTAACTTGCTCTTGTCCTTATTCTGTATTACCTGAAATACAGTCTCTAGGATGGCTGGAATGAGAGGGTTGATAAAATATTTCTTTGATGGAATAGATTGGAATAGGTACATGTCATGAATGGATTGGAAGAGTCACATGTCAGTTTCACAGCAAAATCATAAAACTTATGTTTGTCCTCAATATTCTGTCCTCTATTCTGCTTTCTCCTGATTTCCACTAGCTGAAAGGCTATCATAGAAAAGAAGGTTGTTTTCAAAACTTATAAACTGGAGAATGAATGATGGAAACTTTGGGAAAGCAAATCTTAGTTCACTAAAGAAACAAATTGCCAAGAGTCAGTATGGTCTACTGATGGCATTGATTTCCTGGGAGCTGGTGGTGACAAGCTATTTATTCCTGGAGGTGTTCTTGCCTGATTTGCATGCTCACCTTTCTCCTGGAGCAGAATGTTATAAAAAGAATTCAAGTCTCAGAGTGGGTTTGGACCAAATAAAATAATTTAGGCATTAAAGGAGGTACACAGAGGGAGTGTTAAATTCACATCAGGAGTGTCAAATTCACATCACAAGGAAATGTAGATGGGAACCAAGGGTAAGGGTATAGCTTCCAGAGACAGAATTTGGAAGATGGTAACAGAGCCTGTGGAATTTGATGGGCTATGGGCTATGATATACAGAACCTTTTTCTCTTGAGTTTAGGTTAGGGGAGAGGTGATTTTAAACATGAGGCATTCATTTAGAATTTAACTTTTTTGTGGGACTGTTGGGTACTATGGTAGATATAAAAATTTAGTTCCTGTGCTAAATGAACTTCTAATTTTTTGAAAAAAAGTGCATGCCATAAAATAATGAATGATCAATTCAAGGTAGCATGCATTTGCATCAGGTATTGGCTGGGTGGAGCCATTCCTTCTTTCATTCTTGTTACCTTGGATCTAGCCCTCCATAATACTGTTTACATTTAACCTGGAACATACAACCCTACTGTTTAAAAGTCTTCAGCTGGGCCTTGTAGCCTGCAGGATAAAGCTCTAGTTCCTCCTTGTGACATGAAGGTGCCCTCATGCTCTGGTCCTGGCCAGCCTCTCTTATCCTTATCTTCCCTCATTCTTCACCTCAATCTTAATGCTCCTTAAGAAGTTTCTTTTAGCTACCCTTGGCTACTACCTCTTCTTGCCTCTATGTCTACTCATGGTTTTCCTTTTACCTTCACCTCCATTCTTTCCATTTTCCACTGCAAGCCCTGGTTAGTTTTTCATCACCTCCTCCTAATACTATCTTTTTCAAGTTGAATTCATTAGTTCTCTTTCAGAGTATTGCAATTATCTATTGATGTGCCCATCTGTTATATATAACTGTAAACTTCTTAAGGGTATCTACTCGCTTTGTTTGGCCTAGTATCCTCAGCAACTAATGTAATATCTTTTATATAGCAGATACTCTACACATAATTGCTCGGGAAAGAAAGGTCTCCGTGAATCAAGGAGGTTTCATGGTAGAGAAAATTTTAAGCTGTATCTTTGAGAACTGTACTAATGAGCAGGAAAATGAAAATGGAGATTCATGCAAAATGTAGATTACACTTTAAGCAAATCTACAAAATAGTGTGCAGTGATGTCTCTCACTACCTTGAGCCCTAAGCCATCCAGTATTTTACCTCTCAGGCAACTGACTTTCTAGGCTTTTAGTATTAGAGAGAATGTAACATTTTATGTGATAATAATAATATATAGTAATGTATGTTTATTAATTTCATAACTTAGAAAATAGCACTGTTAAAATTATATATGTAAATATATGTAGGAAAATCTGCCTTTTCCTCCCTCTACCACTCCCCTCTGCTCCTAATAATTCCCTGTAATTTCATTGTCTTCAGTAAAAAACATACATTGAACCGGGCTCGGTGGCTCAGCCTGTAATCCCGCGCCTTTGGGAGGCTGAGGTGAGTGGATTGCCTGAGCCCGTGGGTTCGAGACCTCATCTCTACAATAAATCAAAAAATTAGCTGGGCGTGGTAGCGCGTGCCTGTAATTCTGGCTACTCGAAAGGCTGAGGAGGAAGGATCGCTGGAGCCCAGCAGGTCGAGGCTGCGGTGGCTGGGAGCAGCCACTGCACTCTAGTCTGGGTGCCAGAGTGAGACTCCAACTCAAAAAAACCCAAAAAAACAAAAATAACACATACATTGCTATGAATAGCATATGAAGTCTTCCCTGCAGGTATGCAGACCCATTTTCTGATCTTCAGAAGTGTCATGCCCAATTACAACTCTTTGCTTTCTCACATGCCTTTTCTGCCAGGAATATCCAGTCTCCTGCCTTTGCCTGGCCAACTCTTACCTGGCCTTTAAAACTTAGCCTACATGCCATCATCTTCAGAAAGCCTTCCCTAACCACATTCCACACTCCACATCCCCAATGTGAGTTTGGTCTTTCTTTGTTTCCACAGCACCTACTTTTTTGATATTATCATTTATCACATTAGTTGCAATTGGGAAAGATAACAGAGTTTGCTGTTGTGGTACACGTCTAGCAGGCATTTTCAGGACGCTACAAGAGGAAGGATGTGGCTGACTATAAAGATTGGAATGATAGAGGTTATTATATAATAGAGGTAGATTGAATTAATAGGGTAAAGATCTTTGAAAGACTAAAATCATGAAATTGAACAAACTCTCTTGAGCTTTGAAGAATATGCACAAATAAGGACAGTAGAGAAGGGTAGAAGTTGGGAAAGAAGTGACAAATAAAAAGGGGAACAGTTGAAGACTTGTGTGAGTGATTCTTGTTTTAGAGACTCATTTTAATCTTTTTTTAATCTTTTTTTTTAGCCCTATTAACCTTAGGCTTTGTATAGAAGATATAGAGACACAATAAAATCTCTCCTGTAATTACTGCCAAGCAGAAACGTGGATGGTTCACATGGAAATTGTCTCCATTGGAAACAAAACTATTATTGAATTTGTCCTCCTTGGCTTCTATGACATCCCTGAGCAGCATCTCCTGTTCTTTATTGTGTTCACTGTGGTCTATGCCTCCATCATCATAGGGAATGTGCTGATCGTGGTAGCGGTGGTTAGCTCCCAGAGGCTCCACAGACCCATGTATTTCTTTCTAGCTAATCTGTCCTTCCTGGAGATCCTCTACACTTCTGCAGTGATGCCAAAAATGCTGGAAGGCTTCTTGCAAGAGGCAGTCATCTCTGTGTCTGGTTGGCTCTCTAGCCACAGCTGAATGCTTCTTGCTGGCCGTTATGGCGTATGATCGCTACCTTGCAATCTGCTATCCACTCCGCTACCCACTCCTGATGGGGTCCAGATGGTGTTTGGGGCTGGTGATCACAGCCTGGGTCTCTGGCTTTATGGTGGATGGATTGGTTATGGCCCTGATGGCCCAGCTGAGGTTCTGTGGCCCCAACCACATAGACCACTTTTACTGTGACTTCATGCCTTTGGTGGACCTGGCTTGCTCAGATCCCAGAGTGGCCCAGATGACAACATTCATTCTCTCTGTTGTCTGCCTCACTGTTCCCTTTGGATTGATTCTGACATCTTATGCCCAGATTGTGATGGCAGTGCTGAGAGTTCCTGCTGGGATCAGCAGGAGAAAGGCCTTGTCCACATGCTCCTCTCACTTAGCTGTAGTAACCACATTCTATAGAACTCTCATGGTCTTGTACATTGCACCCTCTGCTCTCCACTCCCAGCTCCTCTCCAAGGTCTTTTCCCTGCTTTACACTGTGGTCACCCCCATCCTCAATCCTGTGATCTACACACTGAGGAACAAGGAGGTTCATCAGGCACTAAGAAGGATTCTCTACATTAAATAGATGGAAGCACTTGATTGAAGAAGGAGAGTAGTGAAGATTTTATTTTGGACTTTGACTTTCATTGGGAAGTCTTCCAGGATGAATTGGAAAGGAATAACTTTGTTCTATTCCAACATGCTCTTGAAACTCTCCTTTAGTTATGCTAGAAGTGAGAACTGTAGGGCAATTTTTAAGTGCTGGCTTAAAAATTATTTAAACTTTGATTAGTTCTTTATTAAATATGCCATAAATATTTAATATTAAAAATAGATAAAAAACAGCAATACCCAAACAAATCTAGAATTATTGCTGTATTACATTTCAACATTTTTTCATATATTATTGTATATTTGTATTTGTAACAAGTTAGGTCATGGAATTTGCAATCCGATTTTCCACTGAACACTATGTAATGAACAACTTTGTATATTTAACAAGTATCTACTTATTTATTCTTCTAAATGTCACAGCTAAACATAATTTGTTTATATAGTCTATTGTTGGAAATTTTTAGTTGTATTAAATTCTTTCACTATTCAAATATAGCTTACATCCAGATTTTCTTATAATAAATTTTTAAGACTTGAATTGTAAGATCTATAAGTAAGTATGTTTAAAACTCAAGCTGAATTAATTTTACTTATATTTATTATAGGTAATTTCAAACATACACTAGTTTTTAGTGAATTTTCATGTATCCATCATCCAGCTTCAATGTGAACATTTTGCTAATCTTATTTTAATTAGCTACAGCTCTTTTTTTGTTTGTTTTGCTGGAACATCTTAGTACAAATTCCAGATGTCGTATAAGTATTGTCGTGTAAGTTGTGTATGTACATATTCCACATGCAAGTTTGTAGTATGCTCTCTGACTGATAAAGACATTTCAACAAGTCATCCTACCATGCCATTACGATCCTTAACAACATTATCAATATTTCATCAATATCATCTAATACACAAGCCATGTTAAAATTTCTCCATTGATCTTTAAGTAATTTAAAAACAATCTTTAAATTAAGATACAAATAAGGTTCACACAATGCATTTTGTTGCTATCTTTCTAGTCCCTTTATAACATAGCTGACTTCTTCCCACTATTTTTCATGCCATTGACTTATTTGGGTAATTATTTTAGCAATCATTTAGAAACCAATATTTAGAAAATATTTCATTTTCTAAATTGGGATTGTTCCTTACCTGTGGTTTTTTACACTTCTATTCTTATATATTGTTTTTTATATACATTGATAGTGAGATAGAAGCTTGATTAGATCTTGGTTAATTTTTTTCAGCAAGGATATTCTATTTGTATGATTGACCAGTGAGTTCAGGTGGTATCAGTCTGATTCATCTATCACTTAGTTCCCAGTTAACCTTTTCACTTAATATTTTTATCATTCATTAATCAAAGTTGATGATGAATGTCTAAAGTGATTTAGTTATTTAAACATAATTTTCTTTAATGTTTCAAATATATTTGTAAGTGACTGTTGTAAAACCTTTGTCTGCAGATTCCTACATTAGGTTATATCAGATTCAGTTATTATTGATTTTTCTTTTTGAATATTGATAAGATTTTCCCTTGCCTTTGTGTGACTAAATATAAAATCTTCCATGATGAAGGATAATCATCTTCTTTAGTGCTTCTCACACTGCCTTCTTTGTGGCAGTTGTTCAATATATGTTTGCAGATTTAGATCACATTAAATGATAATGAGGAAAATGATGAGGGTGGAGAGAACTGTGATGATGATGGTGGTGGACAGGTATGAGAAATGCCTAGTGATAGTTATTGTCAAGTCCTTGCTCCAAAATCCCAGGACACAACTGTGAATCTTTATAAATGCACAACCCAAACTAGCAAGACGCTCAAGTAATATTTTTATATTTTCAGAAGACATAATTTTGTCTGTTTCATCTTACCTTGGGTAAAAGGTATTATAATACAGTTTAAAAATCTGCATTTTTAACAATTCTTAGTCTATAGGCTCTCTACAAAGGAGTTCTTGTACTCTTCAGAAACAAGTTCTTATGGAGGAAGTTTCTTTTCTATGTCCATATGTTCTCTTTTATCCTAACTTATTATTCCCGGAGCAGCTAAATTTGGGCTTTTGTTTCTGTCCTCAAAAATTCTATATTCTTCAATTGAGCACTGAATAAACTTGATATTACATTTTAAACTTCTACTGGTGCCCTGGATTACTGCTACCCTCTTAGCTTTCCTGACCTCCTATTGGATTTTTGACTGCCATCACTCACCTTCACAGCACTCAGAGATTGACTTGCCCTTAATATGTTATTGTTCTGGGACACCCAATGTTCAAAGAAAAAGAAAATTATTTGTATTCACCATATTCTAAGGAATAGGAGAAACTTGTTTTTAGGGCCAGAGTAGATATAGCAACTTGGATTATTCACTCAATACTCTTTCATTTAAAAATAATTTTCTTGATACATGCTGTGACGAGTCATTAGATTCAAATAAAAACATAAAAAAATTAAAAATAAATAAAAAAACCAATAACAATCAAGGAAATCGACCACGTAATAAGAAAACTTCCTACAAAAAAAAGCCCTGGTCCAGATGGCTTTCCAGCAGAATTCTACAAGACATTTAAGGAGGAGCTGATACCAATCCTACTGAAGGTATTCCAGGCGATTGAAAAAGATGGAACTCTCCCCAAATCATTTTACGAAGCCAACATCACATTGATACCCAAACCAGGTAAAGATCCAACAAAGAAAGAGAACTACAGGCCAATATCTTTGATGAACATAGATGCTAAAATTCTCAACAAGATCCTAGCAAACCGGATTCAGCAATACATCTCAAAAATCATCCATCATGACCAAGTAGGCTTCATTCCTGGCATGCAAGGCTGGTTCAATATTCGTAAAACCATAAATGTAATTAAATACATCAACAGATGTCAAAACAAAAACCACATGATCATATCACTAGATGCAGAAAAAGCTTTTGATAAAATCCAGCACCCCTTCTTGATAAAAACCCTTGAACATCTAGGCATACGGGGAACATACCTCAAAATAGTAAAAGCCATCTACGAGAAACCCACAGCCAGCATACTCCTAAATGGACAAAAATTGGAACCTGTCTGCTTTTAAACAGACCTACACAATAGTGACATGCAACCAGACCATGAGAAACATTGCTATACTTAACAAGTTATTGGTTTGCTTAGTAATAAGTTCCAGTGGGCCAACGTCTAAGGGAGCACTCTTATTCTGGCCAAGCAAAAAAAGCCTGACTGACTTCATTTCCTTACATTCCCATTCTTTCTGTAACTTCAAGATGGTATTTAAGTTTCTGTAATTCATTGGGAAGTTGGGTCTTCATTCTGAAGGCTCCGGTGTATACATGCTACATAAGCTTTGTATGCCTTTTTGGTATTAATCAATCTGACTCATGCCAGTGATTTTTCAGGGAGTTTTTAGGAGGCCAATGGCCATGGTTCCCATACTCAGTTGAACTCTGGCCTATGAAGAATGGCCAGCACTTGCATGTCACCGTCACCTCTGTGGGGCTCACCATGCCCCATAATGTTCCCTTTCATGATGGATTTTTTCTTCTATAAAAGGCACATTCCAAAACTCCCATCTCTGTATTTTTGGTTCCCTGACTCCACTACTATATTGCAGTGCAAGTTAATTCTGATGTTAACTAGGAGCAATGATCTGG